GAGAGAGAGAGAGAGAGAGAGAGAGAGAGAGAGAGAGAGAGAGAGAGCATGGGCAGTGATCTGTGATCACAGGCCTGCACAGGCTTGTCCCATTCACCAGGGCAAGAATGGAGCAGGTGTTGACCTCCAGGGGAAAAAAAAAAGGTTATATTCAAATACAATAATTTTTCCTTTGTGAAATTCAAATATAACACATGCGTATTATTCGAATAGAACGCCCATGCGTTATATTCGAAGTGCCCTTGTGTTCGAAGAAAAGGGTCTAACTTTCCGAAAATCGTTTTTTTCGGAAAACTCGAATACAACGCATATGCGTTATGTTCGGGAGAAGATGGTAGATCAGCTTGTGAGGTTGCTTGTCAGTTACGTTGATGATGCTTGCACTGAGTTAGTAGTAGTGTTATCTGGCCAGCCTTCTTATCCCATAACCGGGACAAACCCCACAGGTGGTTATTGTTCTGATGTGCCCCTATTTTCTGTGGTGTTTGTTGTGGCGGCTGGCTGCCCGTCTCCGCCGGAATAGGACACCCAGACATTATGGCTGTATTTTTGGGGCAACTTCCAGTCTGGATAAAGCGATAATGACCGGGCTTTCTATTTGTGTGAAGATGGTAGGCTTGAATTGTTACACCAACGTATCCCTACATTTTGCACTCCTTGTGTGCATGACTGATTTCCGCAGCTGGCTTGTCCACGGCATGATGGTACTCGTGGTGGTGGTTGTGATTCTTTTCTTGGGAGGGGATGCAGGAACGGGAAATCGCCAAGATCGATGATGAACTTGTGCGGCAAGCCTTCTCCAAGGTAATCGATCATGTGCACTGCAGTGTCTGCAGCCTGAACTCGTATTTGAGCATTTTATACTCACTGGCTATCGCACTAAATCTCCACCTCCCTCCCTCTCCTCTCTCCCTCTCCCCCCTCCCTCTCCCCTCTTCTTCTCCACCCTGAGTGAAATACTACAAGTCTACAACTTGGAAGGAAAAAGAAAAGGAGATGGGCTGTAAACTTGCTCTTGAATGTGCATTGAAGAAGGCCCGAGGCCTTTCAACAAACTGTTTGAGGTGTGAAGAACGGCAAAGCTGACAGTTGAACTGTTAAAGCATGTGAATCATTGTACGCAGCTGCTCTCTGATTGCAAATCAATGTGATCAGTTTTCTAGTTCTCACCATCTGGGATTCCCCTCTCCCCCCTCCCCCCTCCTCCCGCAAGGGCACAACCTAGTCGGTTTGATTCCGTGCATGCACGGATGGGCTTGAGGCCAGGAAGTATGGATCCATAACTACTGTGGAAGCTCCGGTGGAACCTGCAGGCAACTTAAGACCCGCCTGTGTGACCGGGGAATGGAGCAGTGGGGGCCACGTGCTCAATTGGAGCAAAGTGTGTGAGTACTGCCATGTCAGCGTGGCGTTGTGTGATGGTGCGAGGGAGTAAGGACACTAAAGCCTTGCAGGGGTGGGATGGATATCACGGCCGGTACGGTTCCAATTTTGAACACCGTGTCCTGGCTGTAGTGGTTGGTGAGAGAGTTGGCTCTTGTGGTCGAGGTGTGCTGGTTCAATTCGTTGCATGCACGGATGTGCCTGAGGCCAGAAAGTGTATGGGTACATAGTGTGTGGATCCTTAACTACGTACCGGATTCACGTCTGACTATTTCTGCTACGTAGCATTGTGTTTTTGTTTACTTCATTATTAGGTTGTCATGTTATTGCGCGCACAACTGGTTTGATTTGTTGCATGCACGGATAGGCCCGAGCGCCGAAAGTATGGAGTCATAACTACGTACCGGATTCACATCTGGCTATTTCTGGTAGCATTGTGTTTTATTTTACTTTGTTATTAGGTTGTCGAACTTGTCGTGTTATTGCGCACGCATGACTGGCTCGCTTCTTTTTGCAGCTGTCTTCTTTCTTCTTTCTGTCATCTCTTCTGCTAATTGGATATTTGTGGGATTCAGAGGACCGCGGGGAGGGGTGGTGGTGGTGGTGTGTTCTGAATCATAGAACAGGGGTTGTTTTTTTGTGCCAGGTGCAGCAATAAACGTCGAATGGACACACCTCATGCGGAGGAAGCTGCCGGTCTCCAATCTCTGTCTGCTCTCACAGTCATTGGATGTTGTGAACTACCTTCTTCCCCCGAATACAATGTACGATCATTATAGCTGTATTTAGACTGAAAGATACCCTAGATTCAGCCATAATGACCGTACGTTGTATTCGGGGGAAGAAGGTAGCAGTTCTGGCTTCATGTTCTGGCTCGGTCTGTTTCCGGTCTCTGTCGAGTTGTGAACAAGGTTGGGAGTGCTTGCTCGGAGAACTTTTTTGACCGAATGTGGCCTTGATTAATACCAGATGCGTGAAGTTTCAAGTGTGCATATGCTGTAGGATGAGTATTGGCAGTAATGTAACCTAGCTTTAGGCTGGGTGTGTCTCAGATATGTGTTATGCAGTAATGTAACCTAGCTTTAGGCTGGGTGTGTCTCAGATATGTGTTATGTTGTAGCGACTTCGGATACCCCCCCCCCTCATCGCAGGTGTTGTGTGTGTGCGCTCTGGCCAGCCAGTCAGGTAAGCATGTGAAATGCGGTGTCCTGATGTGAGCTTAAACCGCCACTCGACAGTGATGTCCCATTCCGGAATATAGCCTACACCGCATTCTTCGCTGGCCTTCTGAGGCTGGGCCGGACGACGGCCACCGTTGGTAAGTTTTATCGGCAGCCGTTTTCGCATTATCGGCCCCGGAAAGTCGTGGGGCCTCGTGGGGGGGGGAGGCGCGGCTCGCACACGATCAATCTATGTGAAAGGTACTGGCGGTTTAAACCATCATCATATCCAAGCCTCTTTTGCCGAGGCAGAATCCCCCTGCGCGGCAGGCTTTGCCAGAATGCCAGCATGGCTTTTTTTTTTTTTTTTTTTTTTTTTGGGTGACGCTGCCAGCCATTTTGGCCCGGTTGCGCCTTTATGGTTTTTTAAGAATGACCCATTTTTTATTCTAAAGTTTGCCTGGGTGTTGTCCTGATGCAAGCTTAAGCTGCTAAGTAAGTTAAGCAAGGTGATGCTTCCCTGAGAATGGAATAGGTCTGCAGGCATTTGATTTGGATTGTCTGGTAAAAACGTACTATGCTGAAAATGATGATCGTATTATAGGACCCACCTAGAACGAGTTGATATCCTAGATGAGGAAGCTGTTGGGTTGCAAATTGAAAAAAAAAACAAAGAAAGAAAGGTCGAGAAATGGACCGAATGCGGTGGGTGCCAAATGGTGCAAAATTGCAAATTAAAGGCAGAGAGTTGGAAAACAAAACAGGAAAACAAAAAGAGAGGAAGGTGTTGGATTGCCAGATCAAAGGAAACGCACTATATGTATGTTATCGTTGTTATGATTGTTATCTAATATCTATATGTTCTAAATTCTAATCTTGAACGAATCCATCGGATTTCCATCCCCAGTGAACTTTCTTCCCAGTTGGCGTTGTTTATGTCGTCAATAATGCAATCTCATGCTTTGCTTAGAAGCCGAGCGACCCGGCGCTTCGGATAATTCTGGACGAAGATGAAGACGGTGATGCCGGCGACGAGGAACTCCTGAAGCGTGGTGGCTCTTACGACTCTGCGGCAAGCCAATCTAAGGTAAGTGTGAACTCCGAAGCCCTCGCTGGCAGCGCTGAACAAAAGTTTTTTTTTTTTTTTTTTTTTGGGGGGGGTTGTTGTTGTAACAACAAAGCCCCTTCTATTCTGGGGGCCATCAGTCGGATTGCTTATCACCGGCAAGCAAGTTTTTCACACCCATCAAAGGAAAGGGGGAGAATAGACAAGAGGAAAGCAGCGGCCCAGCCCTTGTGGTACTAGACACCTATCAAGGGGGGGAACACAAGTTTTTTTTGTATGGCTATTCTTCGGCATGGAATGGTTGTGAGTCTTGTGAACCCGTTAGGCCCAGAACTCCTTTAGGGATGCAATGTTTCTTCGTTTTTTTCTCTTTTTTTTTCCCAAACCAGCGGCCTCTACTAGAGGGAGTGATAAGAGCAGCCGCCTCTCGTAGTTGTCCCTGGTTGCTACATCTATTGGTGGGGAGCTGCACCTGCTGGAAACCGGGTACAACAGGATCATTCACAGGATTAGCACGAGAGCATTCCGCCAGCATTGATTACCCCTGGTTACCCAGGGGGCTTGACTGAGCGGTTAAGAAGGCTGTAGCCTCTTCTAGCCTGGTGTATCTAGCATCTTCCATCACCTTTTTGCTGAAAACCAGGTCCAGCGTCCCATAACACACTTAGAACCGAATTTTGCTGTGTAAATCTCCCAGCATTGATTGCCCGGGACCACCAGGGATTGACTGTAGGGGTACGGTGAAAACACAACCGGGTAACAGTATGCCTTGGACGGGTGACCACCTCTTTGGTCCCCAGCGGATCCCCCCGTCTTTTCCAGACCAAGTCATCATCTTCCACCCTGCCCCCATAGATTTATGCTTTTCCCGGTTTTCCGTCCGCTCATTGTCCTGCCAGCTTGATCCGCTGTCTGTTTGTCATTTGGTTGTCATCTGCTTACACTGCTCCATACCATTGCATGTGCACCATTGCCAGCTGATGAGGCGGTAAGGGGTCCGGGAAGTCTGAGGGTGCTAACATGGCGGTGGTGGGACAGGATATGGAGCCTGTTAGATACTGGATCCACCTGACCATGGGACTGGAAGGTGCTGCTCTGTGAGGTGTGGGCCTCCCCGACGGACAGCGTCTTCGAGAACAATATGTTTAAGATAAGAAGGAGAGCCATCATCTGGGCACTCTGGAGAAAACGCTGTATACATTCCATTGAAGGGGTTCGTGTAGATGGGGAGGAAGTGACAGAAATGATCAGACAATTTATCAATCAAGAACTCCTCACGTGGTGGCAAAAAGTTAAAAACCTATTGGACTTGTACCACTTAAAAAAAGACATTACACAAGCAATCAACCAATTCTCAGGGGACTGGCTGGGTAGCGAAAGGGGGGGCTGGATCACACACATTCGATGGGAGGGAGGACAAACGCAGGGGCAGGAATGGGACGATTTCAGAAGGGACTACTGCATCTGCTTCAAAGAATGGACCAAGGTGGACCAGGGGGTCCCGCTGCAGCCACCCTCAGACTTCCCAGGGAATTCTCTTCAGGAGCAGTGCTGGTTTAATATATGCGTATTGTTTTTCCCTCATGGCTTCGCAATCGTGCTGACCACAATGGATTTTCTAAAAGACCCCTGCCATATATGTTGACATCCATGGTTAATCAGTCGTGGGCTTAATCGAGGGTTCCTCCTGTCAGATTCCTGATGAATCAGTGTAAGCGACGGCAAAACTGTCTGTCAGAGCCCTACTCCGATGAAAC